ATTTACATTATTACACATTAAAGTATACCTACGAAGTAAACTATCCTCTAAAGTCTAAACAATGGGCAGAAGGGGACTATTAGATGTGGGCTGATAACCCATTGCTAGCAATGTTCTCCACGCGATTACCCCTGGAAACCATCGTGATAAACAACCTATACATAATACTAAAGTCAGGAGCAATATCGGAGCAGTGTCTCGTGTGAAGCGAGTTTGGTGAGTCCCTACCGAGCTTTTCCAGCTCCACCAGAACTACTTTAATATTGCTCCAGATTTTACTGGCGTATCTAAGCTGTTTTAACAACTCAATCTTTTAGCCTATTCAAATTTACTAATATGTTACTATACATTTTTGTCTAGTTGAATACTATTGCTGTCGGCATATTAATAAATATCAAAATATCGGTAATAATCTTAAAATGATCGATGGTGACACTTCCAGTTCCGTCAAATATGAAATATACCTATTTTAAAAGTAGATTATCATTATTTCTGAAGTGTTGTCCAATATTTTGCCAATTTCTTATCTGAACAGGAAAAATACCTAAATAAAATATGAAAAAAATTACCGCGCATTTTTCTTTTTACATTAATAAGTGGTTGCGGATTACAACTGACATTTTTGCACTTTTTACTGTAAATCGAATCAAGTAGACGTCAATATAACAAACGATGGTTTATCAGTAGTTTACTGATTAGAGAGCTGCTTTACTACCGATGGTCGCAGGTTCATTCCTCGCACTATAGCTACTTTCACGCGCGAATAGGTCTTCTCGCAAGAAAGAACGTGCATGTAAATGTAGATAAAGAGAACGAGAAACTCCATTGAAGCTAATCGCGTCCTTCAATCGTGCGTGCTTTGATCAGCGTGCAAGAACGTTAAAAGGCAGCTAATAGACAAATGTTTCAAGTTTACGAGGACATTCGTTTCTATTTCCAAATAAAAAAGATAACATAGAGTAGGTATTTACATGGCCTGTGGTCTTTTAAAAAATCACGGCCACTGTTAAGAACATTTTGTTTATAATGGACTGGCTGACTCGCGCAACTTCGACTGCTTCACATTTTCCTTGTTTTTATAGAATATTTCATTGCTCTCCACTATTTTTGGGCACCTGGTGTGTTTTTGTCTATAGCATCATTCTAAATAAATGGATTACTCAATTCTAAAATATTTTTTAAAATCGCATCAGTAGTAACAGAGAATACATAAGCTTTAGCTCTACAATATTAGTTTACACAAACTTTAAAAAAAATGGTAGTGCTTATAAATACTTATCAAAACTATTACGATTTTAACCATTATTTTGCTTACTGAAACTTACATTACAATCGTTTATTATTATTTTTACAAAAATTGGAGATCCCTGAAATAATATTTCGCGCAATAATTGTAACATCGCAACCGGGGCGTAACACTAGTAAATAAGAAACACAAAAATGCAGTACAAAAATATTTATTTCACACATTCCTGTTGCACCTACATTAATTTCATTTACACTGGTAATATTAAGCAAATTTAGATTGCGATGAAGTGTTTGTACAAACATTATATAATGTATATGAAACACTATATATAATTACAAATTCTTATTTCAAAAATTTTATGAATAAGAGAAAAAAAAAATTTAGGATGAGAACGCTTAATTACATTAGTACCTGTATTTGTTCTTGTAAAAGTATCAACAAGGTTATATGATTAGTCGCGCCTTTTCATGTGGGTACTTTAATTTGTGTTACAATGAAAAAAATCATGTGTATAACATTAACATCCAGTAATGTTAGCTGAGAGTTCATATTTAACAATTAAAACCGTAGAAATCTTAGACCTGACAACAAGAGGGAATTAAACTGGAAACAAAATTGGAAAAATGGATTTTTGTATGTAATAGTTGTCAAGGACTTCATTATTATTCAAGATGGTGACAAAATTTTGATAAGATCAGGTAATACTTTCAGACATTAAGAAATGCCGAAGCAAGAAAGCAATAGATAAAACACATTCCATAGATAATCAGCTGCCAGTATGGCGATAAAATGACTCATATGAACAAAAATAATTTCACAAAACAAATCCATATAAGGTAATATACGAGTATAATTGGTACTTTGTACCGGATACTAAAATAGACATTATAAAGTCGTCTGTGTCATCTATTTCAGCCGTAAAACAGTTTGCTTTGTAAACTGCTTATTTATTTATTGTCTATTATTTAAAAACATTTAAATTAATTATATATTGAAATCCTCTTCCTTTGCTATTACAACCACCTTCAAACTTACATTATGAATATTGTATACCAATAAAAAAAATGCTAGTTAGCACACGAAAACCACCATAATAAACCAATAGTTACAAACAAAAATGAAGTCTGTGTTAAAAATAGAAAAGAGACTATGGACGTAAATGGATTTAAATATCCAAAAATCACTTTGAAAATCAATATTTTTATAAAATATATTTGTAAAAAATATACAAAAGTCTATGAAAATTATTAGAAGAAGACCTAAGCCTCATTTTTTTTAATTGTAATCGTATGTAGTCATGATAGGATATGCACCAACTGCGACCCAAACCTGGACTTTGAAATCCTGAATCACCGATAATATTTATATTACGTATTGTTAATCTATTTATTGTTAATTTTCAGTGTCGCCCACTGATAACGGTTAGCATGACTAATCATACAACTGAATCGATATTTACATATACATTATTGTAATTAAAGTAACATACAATATAATGAATCATAATACAAAAATAGAACAATTTTTCATCCATGGGTCACATTTCAAATTTTCTATCCGTATTTCCAAAGCAAAATTAAAACTTATATGCAATATTACTACACTAAACAGAGAGGAATTTTTGAATAAAGATCATTCTATTTCACAGAATACCAGGAGGTGAGAGGTGAAGGCAATTTTTATGCCTTAAGTAATATTTATTATAAATTATGAGCAAAAAAAAAAAGTCAAATCGTCATCATCTCTACTTAGTTAAACATATCTTAATATAATGATTTATAAAAATTGTATTTTTCTCACGTAAATACTAAAATAATAATGCATAGCTTTGGCATAATCATATTTCTTTATATACTGATGACTAATATTAAAAAACGGTTATCTTAAAGAGTGAATATGCTCACGACTATTATACCAAATGGTATAAGCATTATTAACTGACAACGCTCGTTGAAACGTTTATTAATTTATAACTAGTAATATTTTAATTTTATTTTAATGTAAAGAAATCTGGTATATGTTATTTTAGTATCAATGCCCAAACTGCTAATATTATTAAATTCATGCAATTATTACTAAATTGCTAAACAATAATAATGTATAATTACTATATAAAATTGGCTACTTAAAATACTAAATTCATTAATAAATGAAAATTATCACAATGATTCATTAAAAAAAAATCATAAACAGTATATATATTTGTATATAAAATAAAGTGGCACGTCATAATATTCCTATCAGACCTTTTTTCATGAGCATTCACCAATCATTTTGTCATTAAATAACAATAAATTACAATTATATTTTTGTAAATTTTAATTGTATAGTGGTTTGTATGTTAATTAGAGATATATGTATATACATATATGTGTACGTATAAGATCATCAATTTTCTTAATGTGGTATGTATAATCAAAATATTATGTCATAAGATTTTGAACAGTTTGTACATATCGCACGCATAATTAAATCAAAGCGATCAACTAAAAAATTGTGATTCCGTTTTACTTATTAAAGTTCATTTAGAATTTGCACTTTTTTTATTTTCTTAGGTATTATTGGATAAAAATACCAAACGTACGATAGGTTAGGTTAGTATATAAAAATATACTAACCTACCGTAGGTTTGGTATTTCAATGCTTACATACATACATATGTTGGTTGTAGGTTATTGGGTGTAGGTTATTGAAATGTTGTATTGTATAGTGTTATTGTAATAAGGTCTTTACATATTAGTACAAGCACATCTAATATTATGTTAAATATTATTTATACATACCTTTATCAATATTATAAAGTAATTCTTGATGTGTACTGGACAGGTAATATTTCCATATTAATTACACACAGCCATAATATTATAAGAAGCATAATAATAATAATTATTATAATAGTAACTCCGAAATATTACGTTAATTATTTATACATACGTATTTCTTTCAATTACAAAGTTATTGTTGATGTGTACTGGACAGGTTTATTTTTATTATAAGAAGCATTTAGACTAATTTAGACAATTAATTATTCTACATCTAGTCCTAAGCTAAGCAGAGCTTGTGTTATTGGTACTAGACAACTAGTATTCTTTGTAAATACATACACATTATACATAGATGACACCAAGGCGAATGTAAATAATCATACTTAAGAATACAAATGTTTGTACCGCGCGAGGAATCGATCCCGCGACCATCGGACGTAAGGCGATTTGCTAAACCGCTGGACCGAGGTTGTCATACTTAATAGAAATGTATCTGAGTTACTGTGAGCAATTACGCTATTATATCAGTTATCAACTTGCGCCCTAGTTATTTTTTATTTCTATTATTATAAGATTCATATGTGACAAAAAAAAACAATATTTTAAGTTTGTTAATTAAAAATAATTACCACTGAGTTCTATTCCAATTATGTTTTGAGCAATTAACGCTATTATATCAGTTATCATATATAATGTAACAATTATCGCGCCCTCTCAGTTATTTTTTATTTCTATTATTATAAGATTCATATGTGACAAAAAAAAACAAATATATACTTATATTTGTTAGATATCAAATATATTATATATTACACACTGTGCTACTTTTATATTCCAATATAAATATTTTGCAGACGTGGACGTAATTAATTTCATCATACATATACATATATGTACATTGAGTTTGAAAATGTAGGCATGTTATGTATGTTACCGTATTTCACGTCTCTCGATTAACGCAGAGGTTCATTAATAAAAGATCAGAAAAATATTTCCGGTAAATAAATTTATACAAAGCTTCATAATATCGGCAGGATTGGAACTCAGAACACCATTTGTGCTAAGTTGTGGCAGGAAACCATTAGGCCCGCGACTCTTTGAAATTTAACATTCCAGATAAATAAATATAGAACCTTAGCCACAGCAACGCGTGGCCGGGTCTACTAGTATGTATATATGTATATAACATGATTGGAATGATTGATTAAGCCATGATTACATAAAAACAACAAAAATTTCTAATACCCCTAGACTTGTTTCAATTAACTAATATACCATTACTGTTCAATTTGAGGTTATGAAAGTCTAATTAACTTAAATGTGGTAGTAAATAATTGTCCACTATCGTGACATTGGTGTGCCAGTTGAAGTGATTGACCCCGAGAACCGTGATCACATGCAGACGGCCGCTCTCGTCCAGCGCCCGTAGTCCTATGCGATCCTCCTTGTAAATGGCCTGATCCTTCATCTCTATTACTGTCTTGTTACCGTAGTTGTAATACCCGAATTGGCTGTACAATAAATAAATGAATCCTTACTAATATTATATGTGAGTAATAACACTGTTTGTCGCTCTTCTACGCCAAAACTACTGAACCTATTTAAATGAAATTTGATTAAAAAATAGTATAGACCTTGATAAAGGGTTGAAAAGGGAGGGAGGTTAAAAAGGGGTGAGAAGGGTTGTAAGGCGTTGAAAAGGGAGATGAAAAGTTGTATGGAAGTATGGAAGTATGGTCATTTATAAAGCAACTACTAAATACTAGTTAGTAATAGTCTGTAGTTTACTATAGACTAACAATATTCTAATATCCTTTTATGATGAAAAATCAACCCAACAGTGAGATGTCAAAATGATGATGATAAATCATGAACTGAATAAATACCTGCTTTGCCAGGGCGTTATAACTTGATCATCGGGACCACCAATCAATACCAGCTTTTTCAGTCTCAGAATATTGTCTTTGAAGTTTTGCGATTCGGCTGACCTGAAATTGATGTAATGCAAATTTAAATGAGCGATACCAGACTTTGTACGAAGTCTTATCCATGATTACCTCCAATATAAACTTATTAAATTCAGGCTGATCATGATTAGATTCAGGCAATCTAAACAAATGTATGTGCAAACCGCTTCACAGACATTGACAAGACACAAGACGACTTTGTACAAAGTCTATCTTTAGTATCCTTTTTCTTTTTATTAATTAGCTCCGAAAGTCAGAATAATAATTAAATACTTTTTGTATTTCATTCACAAAAAGGGTAATTTCAATAAACTAACTTTTTCTAAAGCTGAGTTTGGCAGTTTTATTCTCTCAAAATATTCCCATGACACTAGACATTCTATCCAATATGGTCCTTGGGGACCTGTTTGGTCCACATTGGTGTTATTAAGACAGATAAATTAGTGTATAAAAAAGTTTTTACTTTATACTGATATTCTATGAGAGAAGAATTACTGAAATTTTATATTCCATATATATGCAAAACAATGCTTTTATTGAAAATAATTTCATAATTTAAAACATAATTATGTCAAAAGGTATAAAATAATAACAAATTAAGATATTGTTACACAGAGAAATTATTTACGTAAACAGTAACGAAATGTATGTGACAAGTAATCTATATGTGATTATAGTTTTAATTTTTATTTCAATTCAATTAAACAAAGAATATATAAATGGTAAATAATATTTTATGCGAAGTAATGTAAAATTGAGATAAATAAATTAAAAAAATATAACATTATTAAACAATACCATCATATCTTGCAAAAAAAGAAACGATATAAAAAAATAGAATAACTTTTTGATAACATTTTATAGATTGTCCTATAAAATGTTACCCAAAAAGTCAGGTTCCACCGAGATTTGAACTCGGATCGCTGGATTCAGAGTCCAGAGTGCTAACCATTACACCATGGAACCGGCTGGGCAGACTGCCGAAATTGCGATTCTCATATTGCGGATTATTTTTAAAGCGTATATAACAATAGATAAATAGCGTATCGGACTGTTTAAAGATTTATGATGCATATATAGTAATAAATATTTATTATGAAACTTCAAAAGTAGATTATAAATTAATTTCTTTATAATGTAAATCAGCCTTTTTATTAAGATAAACAATAAGTATTTTAACACAATCACCCACACAAGCATACATACAAATATGAAGTGATAATCTCTTTTGTGAGTGGAAAACGAGTTTTTAATTTTCTACTAACGCCATCTAGGTTGCACTGAATAAACTATTAGACTAGACTTTACTAAAGTGAAATGTGAAGCTTTCGAAATGTGGCGTTTTAGAAGGACAGAAAGAATGAATTGGAAAGATAAAATTTGAATTGAAAAAGTACTAAAGTTTCTTTACCTTTTTGTAGTTGATTTAAATTGTTTATTTCTTTTAAATAATAAATTTATTATATAGATTATTGAGATTAATAAAAACAGACGAGGGGAAAGTAGCGTACACGATATAGGTCATTTTTTTTAAACGTTGGGTTACATTATCTTAGTTTTCATACTAATCGGATCTCAACGTTTTTAAAAATATTCATCAGGGATAATGTGGGATTCTAAAGTTGAAAGAATTTTCAATTTAGTCCAGTAGTTTTGGAGCCTATTCAATACAAAAAAACAAGCAATATCATCAAATCTTTCCTTTTTATAATATTAGCATAGACAATGCCTCAAAACCTCCACAAATAAGAGAGTAGTTCTTAAATTATGAATGAATATAATTATTGTCAAGAGTGCATATGCACAAGGTTAGGCTTACGTGTAATAGCTTAGACCGCATCATCACTTAACATCAGGTGAGTTAGCGAAAATAAAGGTATAAATAGAAAAATAAATAAAGAAAAATTGTAAATACTTACGGAATATGGTTATTGAGATAGGGCAGGAATACACTGTAAGTCTCATAAAGTTGCTGGTGGAATGGATCATTCCAATAATTTCCAACAGATGTGTGTTGTCCCACTCGGGAGTAGAACAATTCATAGACTTCATCTGTCACAAGACCAGGAAACACCAAGTGGAGAAAACCAGCTGGAAATTCAAGCAGTTTCATACTTTTATAAGGATGACATCCATCTTTAAATATTTGAAAACAAAGCCACCTCTGTTTACTTATAACTTTTAAACTACTCAACGGATTTTATTGCTCTTTTCAACAATAGACAAAGTCATTCAAGAGGAAGGTTGTGTGTAATACCTATATATATTGCATAACATGCGTTATAGTGTAGAAAAAGCCAAGAACATTTAAAGATTTGTAATGTATTCGTGAGAACCCAGGGCGGGTCGCCAATATTAATAAACGAGATATTTATCATGATAATATTATTAAATTGTGAATTTTTATTGTAATTATTATTAAAACTCGTGAAAAATGTATAAAATTGTGATTACATCCATATTTTGCATTTTGATTTGGTTTATATACGAAGGTAATCAGTGAACAAGGAAATTTCCTTTCAAATATATTCTATTTCACAGAATTGAGGCGTACATTCTTGAATGCCATTCTGTTTTTTTTATGTAACTGAAATGTCTAAACTGGAACCTATATACATGAACAGCATCAAATCAAATCAAAAATAATTTAATATAGGACATTTTAGCCGCTCATGAATGTTTTTTTTTTCCTACCGTCCACTTCAGTATACAGATTCAAGTACTGGCAAGCAAGATAACTGAATTTCTTTTTTTTAAGCCAGTTTGTTCATAACATCAGACATTACTTCGGCATGTGTCGCCCGTTCTCTTTCTTTTCTCATGTGTTGCTGTTCTGTAATTTCTAACATTTTATTATATTTGACAAAATAAAGACGCCTAAGTCTGTCTCCTATGTATAATACATACTTAATTTTTTATTTTAGATTCTTTAAAGTTTATTTCTTCAAAATAGGTGAGACTGAGTTACTTATGCTACTTTTTACAGTCTACCTCTGGCAAATTTGTATTAACAATAACTTGTCATACTACTGTAAAAGTTACACAGAATTCACAATTGTACTATAAACATAGTTACATACCTCCATATTGACCAGCTTGCGGTGAGCTTAACGAAATAAATGTGTCAATAGTGACATTGGAAAATGTCTGTACAATGCCGCGAGCGACGAGACCACCTTGTGAATACCCTGAAATGAGGAAAACAGAATATCCTATTGACAATATGAACTAAAATTAATAGCTAATTTACTTTTCAATACAATACAAACCATAAGTCATTTTGGATTAAATAATAATGTTTTCTATGTATATTGTGTTCTATTTCCATGTATTTATATCATGTATTTTGCTATTTTTTAATAGACGATAATGGAACCGTGCACTTGCAGGACCGGTTATGCTAGCGGGGACTAGTGGAGGATGATATATCAGCATGCGGTCAGGTCTGTTACCAGACAAATTTATCACGAATTTATCAATACGAATTCCTAGAGGGAACTGTCTGGAGATCTATCTGTCATATCATGGTACATCACTAGAAATGGACCTATTAATCCACATTGTTAACAATCCTCTTTGCACCAATTAGCTTGGTATAAGATGACACTGTTCACAATTATTGTAGTTTATACATACCAATAAGATTTATTCCATCTGGATATTTAGCCGTTATGTTGGCCAGATCCTGTCCAATCTCCATCACTTGATGCCACATTGTTTCCAAACTGGACCAACTCTCAAACCTATCGACATTGTAAATAATAGTGCCAGGATGTTTCTGAAATTAATAATAATAACTATATTATGAATAGGAACATCTGTTAGATTGTACATAACATAAAGGGTATATTATATTTATTCAACGAATTGACGACCTCGGTGGGCTAGCGGTCTAGCACACCGTTTTACGTCCGATGGTGGCGGGTTCGATTCCTCGCACGATACAAACATTTGTATTCGTAAGTATGATTGTTTGTATCGGTCTGGGTGTTTTCTATGTATAATATGTATGTATTTATGAAAAAAAAATTATCTATGTATTTGTATCAGTTGTCTAGTACCCATAACACAAGCTTTAGCTAGCTTAACTTGAGTCTAGATAGCGTTGTTTGAATTGTCCTGAGAGTATTATTATTTATGTTGTTAATAATCTTTTTATAACTCCCAAAAAAATATATAATTATGGTACAAGTGCACAATATACCACAATTGTTAGATGTAACTCTCAGGATATTCTAGAAACAGAACAAAATTAAAATTTCTAGCAACAAGGTTAAAATTATCATCACAGGTGATAACTTTTTTAGGTTTTTTTTAAATACCTATAGTTTCATAACCACATGATCAAGATTTTTATTTTTCTGATAGCTCTGATGAAATAGAAATAGTAAAAAATCTTTATTCAATTAACTCCATATATGCATTTTTGAATAGTCATATTTTTAAATTCTACAACTCATATGGAACACAGACTAATGAGACACAAGAAGAATGAGCAAGAAACTTGTGTGTTGCTCTTTTGAATAAATACACAGTAACAAGTAAGATGCATGTTATAATCAACATAGAAACCATACAAACTCATTCTTTGTACAATCAGATAATATTGTCAGGGCTATGAATTTTTATTTGTAATAAATTAATGCTTATTTCATTTTATCTAATTGGAATGGCAAACAAAGTGACGTCTCACATGATTTTAAGTGATAACTGTTGGTTTTATATAGTACATGAACAATACCACCCGTTTAAAATCTTTTTTGTAAAATTGTGAAGGGCTTCATATATATATACAGCCCTACAGAGATCACAAAATACACGTCTGACACCTCTCTGGCAGATTTTATTCGCACAAGTTATGCCATTGATTATATCCAGGATAAAAGTAATCATAAATGGTTTTAAAAAACTATTATAGTAATACCTCTTTAATTCTATGTAAAATCATCTCCATGCTGTTACTTCCTGTCATAATCCCGTGTATTAATACCACGGGTTTATACGATAAACATGTACTTGTAAATAATATTATAGCAAAAAGAAATGTTTTCAAATACATCTTCATAAACAACACAAAAGAGAACAAAGAAACTGAACTGACGACACTTATGTATTCAACAAACTTTAGTAAACAATACACACAATACTTTTGCAATTGAACTAATGTATGTATACCAAATATAAACATACACTAATTTAAAATAGAAATTGTTCTACAAAGTTTTGGGAACGTGAAACGAGAATTTTATAGTCGAACTCAAGCACAATGTAATTTGTAAATACAAATAATAAAATTTGGCACGATTTATTCACTTTGAACGACTTTGAGTAGTTTGATGTGATTGATACGAAAAGTATGTCAGTCTTAAAATCAAGTTGTCAAGGGAATAGTGTTGTCTTGTGTGTGAACAACAGAGTTGCTACCATACAAGAGTCCTCATTAAGATTAATTTGTACAAAGATACAAGCCAGAAGCGTAGCGTGCCTTGGCAGGGCACACTTAAAATTTTGTTTGCTGGGGCCCTTACAAAGGATAAAGATTTTTCACAAAAGAAAAAAAATTGCATAAAATTAAATGAAATATTTATTCATCATAATTATCTATCTATCACTTTTTCCAAAATTTTTAGAAACAATTCAAATTATATTTATATATATACTCTCCTTGCCTTTTTTTTCGGATTTATTAAATCATTTAATAGCTGATGCGGGAAAAAAAGAAATGGCTTTTTTTACTTTTGTCAACTGTAAAATAAAAAAAAATTCGGAAGTTAATTTTTGCTCACACACCTTAGGGCCCCGTATAATTGATACCGCAGATACGGCGGTAGCCCCTGATATAAGCCTACATGTTAACAACTTGTTCCGAATCTTTGTTAAGAAGCACATTCCGTGGCTCGCATCGCGTATTATAAAATAATATAAATATATATATGTTGTCAGCCCTCTCCTTGCTGGGCTTATTTTTCCGTCACAACATTTGGCATGCGAAAAATTAAGAAAGATTGCTTTCTTAATGTATAATATTCCTACTGGCTCCTGTCTAATAGTATAATCTTCCTGTTTGCTCACTAAAAGATTTGGACATACTAATACTCACTTTGAGTTGTATCACTATGTTCCTTGGGCATCACTAATTCATTCATTTAATGTCATTTACACGAGTTAATGTTATTAAAACTACATTTACGATAATAATGAATAAAAACAGTGTATCTATACTAATATAATTATAATTTGAAGTAATTCATACGTTAATGTTAAGAAGAAATATCATTGAAAGTGAGTAATGTTATTTTAAACAATTAAAGGTTCTCTTTAATGCAAATAGGTTATGTTCAGAAATAGGTTATATCCGGCATGTGAATATTGTTAAAATTTAAAAACTTCTTATTTTCAGATAAATATTACTGGAGTATTTAAAGGAGGTATCATAAATCATGGCTGCGACATCTTTAGCAGCACAGCTCAAGAAATTAACTGTACCGCAGTCATCTATTTACATTGATAATGACAAAAGAGTGTCCTTACTGTTTTCCCCTAAAGAAGCGGCTGCTAAGGATCGGGATACATTTTACGAGATAGGTATCAGTGGTTTAAAGGAGCTTATAACGTTATACGAAGGATTTAGTGTTTTTGAAGACTCTTTATTCAGTTTGTCTTCAAAGGATTTTGAACGTGCTATGCAAACGAAAGAGGTAAATCAAAACTTGGATAAAACACTGGAAAAGTTCCTAATGCAACTATCTCCATATTTCTTATTGCAATCTTCTCACAAAGCCTTGGAATGGCTTGTGAATCGTTACCATATACACGAGTACAATCAGGATGCTATAATGGCATTGATATTGCCTTACCACAGCTCAATGATATTTGTAAGGTTCATTCAGATCATGAATTTTAAGACAGTATCAAATAGATGGAGTTGGATGGCGTCCATTAAAAAAAAAGGTGTGCCATTGGCTAATCAGACATGGTACAATCAGTGTGTTTCAAATACAGCCACTCTGCAGTTTCTCATGAAAAGTACATTGAAATATGTAACTGAGTTTGGTGAACGATCATCACACCTGAATACTGTGTTTGCATTTATGTGTCAAACAGCAGTTGGTGTTTTGGAATCAAGTAAAAGTGTAAGCGAAGCAATTGTGAATGCTTTGTTGCCCGTCATCATGGAGGGCATTGAATCTTCTATTGTTGATTTTAGAGCAGCAGTACATATAGTATTGGGGTTTATGTTTACAAAGGTGTCTCTCGCACAAGATACTTTAAACAAGATAATTGACAAGCTGTTGACTACAGAATTTGACTTGACATATGATGTGACCATATTGTTGACGATGATGTTCACACATCAGACTCACATGACCATGATTCCTGAATCAATATTATCCAACATATCAGTTGAAACCATGATGATACTTTGCCGACATATTAAAAATTCCACTGAGAAAAAGCAGAATATTTTGCCATTTGCCCTGGCATTCCTTTCAAGTGTGATGAAACTTATACAAAGTAATATGGAAGAATTCAGGAAGTTCTATCAATTGCCAGAAATATTTTTGGATGAAGTGGATTTGAGGAGTCAACACCCAGAGCAGATTGTAAGGTATAATTAATTTAAATTTTTATATTTACTCATATTTGTTGGAGGTTACTGTAATGCCACCATTCTCCCTTTAAGAATAAATAGTAAAAAATTAAAGTATTTGAACATGAAAGAAGATATGTCAAAAAGAAAAAATAAAATACATTTTTTTTCTAAATTAGTTATTATCTAGGTTTCTTGTTATTATTTTGTAATTACTTAACAAATCTGTCTTGAAATGCATATAAAAGATTTTATTCTATTATTCACATGTTGGAAAACATTGCAAATTTCATGAACCAACTACAAAAGAATCTTCATTACCTAAAAAGATTGTATGCATACCTACCTTCAACAATAGTGCATTATTTTATGTGGTTCTTGCTATCTAGGTTTTACAATTGGTAACATTTTAAGAAACCATTGGCTTTTAATAAATATGTTATGATAATTCTAATTTTACTATTTATAAACCCTACTATTATTTATTAAGTAGAATTACTTAAAATAAAATTAATACATTGTAGACTTTAACTTTTTTCAGGTGTATTCTTAAAGCATATAAACCAAGAAAAATGAAATCTGTAGTTGAAAATGAAAGTGATGTTGAAATTATAGAAGAAGATGATTTACAAATAAAGATGCTTGAGTGGTACTCTTCCTTATTAAAGAACATTGAAAGAAAGTATCCAGAAGCATTTGATAAAATTGTAAAAGAAATCATGAGTTCAGAAAGCAAAATTAATCAGAAAAGGAGAGCACAGTTATCAAAAGTTCTTACATTCAAACCTGCTGTTGCACATAAAATAGGTAGTGCATATCTATTTGAAAATCTCAACCATGTGAATCCGCAACTACGTGTTGAAGCTGTAAAATATATTAAAAAAGAGTTTGAGTTATTAAAGATGGAAAATGTGGAATTTGTTAAAGATTCTATTGTTAACAGGTTTAATGATGACGACCCAGAAGTTGTTGCAACAGTATTAGATCTCTCTAATGACTGTTTAAAAGATATATTGAATGAAGTAGATATTTCAAATATTTTTGTAAATATTATGTCGAAGAGTTCTAAGGAATGGAAACCCATTATCAAGAGTACTGTACTTAAGTTTTGTACATTAGACCTGCTACCTGTTCAACAGGACACATTACTAGCTGTGTTGCCATATCTATTTCCAGATGATGTTGATTCTGCTGATATTACATGGCAGATAATAAAATCAACTTGGGGTAAAAAATTGAAACTTATGATGAACATCAAAGATGTGACTGAACAATTTAAAGATAATTATGAAGTGCTGAATCAAGCAGTATTTAAAGCGCTATTTATAGATAGATCTGTGCATTTTGATAATATCCTTGATTATAATCAGCTAAATGTAAGAAATACTTTAGATGTTTATATGTATCTACTGTTAAAAACTTGTTCACTGGATAACACAACAGCAGATGAAATGATAACAATGTTAAATTTGCTTTTAGAAACAGTTGAAAATAGAACAATTATTTCTAGTACAGAAGACCAAGTATTTTCAAGCAGAATTACAAATGAATTTATCAAACACTGTAGACAGGATGAAATAATTTTTCAAGTAATAGAGTATATCTTTTCAAGATTCATTAAACATATTGATGTTAAAAATATAACAAAGCCATGGTGCAATATGTGTGATAAACCATCTACCATTCTCATTAGGAGATTATATGAGATTTGTATTACAGGTTGTGGCATACAAAGTTATGAGCAAAATTATGTTACTCTTTTGAAAGAACTGTTATCAAAAATTTGCAATACTACCAGAGAAAAATTTGAGTTTGTAGCTAATTTCGCATGTGGACATATTTTATATGCTACTGATCCCAAAGATGTGATTGGTCCTGAACTTCAAATAAGAAGCATTAAACTATTACACAATTTTGTTGCTGCTCAAGAAAATATGGATTGGATTTATGACTCTGATGTAGTCACACTATTGATTCTTTTTAATTTAAATAACCCACTTGCAGCCATTCGGAACTGCACTGTTGATTTGATGAAAATTCTTCTTAGAGATGATCCTGACCAAAGTCTAGTTTATGTCAAGTTATTGATTGAGCTCATGATGCACAAAGAAGAGACTATACTAGACCATGAGCAGATATGTGAAGTTCTTAAAACGGCATTATCTAAACAAAACCCAGTTAGTAGAATATTTAAAAAAAACTGCTTGATTAAATTTACAAACATTTTGACTATAGATACTCCAGCACACATAAAGTCTAATTTAATTAAAATACTCAACAATATCAATGATGCAAGTACCTTCCCTTACATTGTTCAATCCTTAAAGACATTGGAAAGTGTATTATCAAGTGAACAAATGAATACAAAACTAAGATTGAATATTTATGAATCCAATTTGGTTAAGAATGTTTACAGCCATATAAATGAATTTACAGTTTCAACATTTAATAAGAAACATGTGTGGGATGCTATTGAGCTTGGTTTAAAAGAATATAGGGAATGTATCCTGCTTGAAGATCAAATGTTCACTAGCCCATGTGTCATTATCATGAAACAAATAGATGAGACTGTTTTCAAGAAAATTCCTGGTGAGAGTTTACCGGGAATGATTTATTTGATCACTGCAGCTGGTACATTTAGTAAAAATCCCACGATCGCAAGTATTGCTTCAAAAGCTATGAAGAAAGTGCATTTACAATTTGACGACTTTAAGCCCATTTTGGAGGCAATGTTAAATGTTGAAGACCCAGCAGATAAAATGGCAAAGAAGAAGAAATCTTCAGTATCTATGCTTTCTTATCAATTAACAGAGACAGATGAATGGCGATTGGGAGTCACCTTCTTAGAATATGTGCAGAGTAAGAAAAAAATGACAGTTGACAATTCATTTGTTAACATTCTCTTCCAAATTCTAAACAAATGTTTGAGGTTCGAAGAACAATCTTATGTTGAATATACAAAACAGCTGATTCTTTCTTCACTCTGGTATTACTGTACCAGATTTGTCAATGACAAAGACAAAACTGAAATGACGTCTCTTAAGTCCATTTTTAAAGTGGAATTAATAGTGATGTGCATTAGAGGGACTCAAAATCCGCAAACTCACCATCATGCGTTGATTCTTTTGTCTCATGCTGCCTACATATTACCAGAACAAGTGCTACATCATACTATGGAAATATTTACATTTATGGGCTCATCAGTACTCAGACACGATGATGCATACAGTTTCCAAATAATTGTTAAAATTATTGAAAATTTAATTCCCATTTTAGTGAAGTTAGATAGAAATATTGAAGAATATACAGAGAAGGAACTTCAACAATTGCAAAAGCGGATTGTGCCAGTATTGCGTATATTCGCAGATGTTGTATTACATGTGCCAGAGCATAGACGGTTGCCTATGTATACAAAGCTATTGGAAACATTGGGTGCCAGTAATTTCCTGTGGGTATTCCTGGCTTTATTATTGGAGACTCATATTGCACATTTTAACGAAGAAAAAAAGATAGACCGAAATCAGAATAGATCACTGGCTAAACAAGAGGCGCCTGCAAATAGACTCGACTTTGGTCAAAGCATTTTATTAGAATTTTCTCCAGAGATTTGTTTTGAAAATTTCTTGAAACTTATAGTATATCTTAAGTCTTTACCATTGCAGAAAGATGAAAATTCAATGGACACAGATGTAGATCCAACAGACATATTTAGTGTGAATGGCCACACTCCAATCCAACTTCGTCAATATAAATACGTAATAATAACATTTATGAATAACTGTTTGTCATACCCAAGATTTATTGACCATTGTGGAGCAGCGCAGTCAGACAAAACCATGGAGGATCACTATAAAGGGTTTATAGTTAATGTACTTACTTTTATTCAAAGCATTTCTGATCTTGGTGATGAGAAAACGGCAAAATATTGGCGGGTGATGCTGCATCATAGCTATGACCTCTTAGACCACACTAATAGTCTGCTTTCTCCTACTATGTTCCTATCTGTTACAAGAGGATTACTAAAGCACGTATTACAAGCTGTAAGAAGAAAATCCATGGAACTACTTAATTCTAAAATTCAACTTAACTCTGAAATGTTCCAAAATGTTAATAAAGAGTTGCTGTATTCTTTGTTGCCTGCACTATTGGAGATAGTTAGGACTATAGAATCCAAGGATGAAACTCTAAATGAAGTTGCTGCACAAGAGTTAGAGGTCAATCAACAAACAGCCTTGTTATCATTGAAACTTCTTACAAGATTGCTAGCATCAGAAAATCCAGATCCATTCGAACCCGTTTTGAAGACAGTCACTGAGTATATTTGTAATCCCACCATATCAGGAAATGTAATGGCATCTATTGTTTTATGCTTGGCAGAACTTTGCAGTAATCTAAAAGCTCATGCTTTAGTTGGTCTCTGTAAATTTATGCCTGCTCTTCTTAAAGTACTAAAGAAGCAACGTAAAGCTGACACCCCAGAATTAATTCTCCTAAGTACAATAACGGCAATAACAAAAATAATAGAGAGTTTGCCGCTCTTTCTTAGTCCGTACTTGCAGAAGATTTTATATGAATACTCTATTTTGTCGGCGAAGTGGCATACCCATGATCAAGAGTGTAGTAAAGTGTCAGCTATTGTAACTAAGTTGGCAATTATTAAAAAGAAGATTGCTGCTGCTATTCCTCCAAGAGTCTTGATACCAGTTACGAATGAGACTCATCAATTGCTTCTGGAGAAAGAGAATTATGATGCAATTGGACCTGTGATGTCCGTATTGGCAGAGAGCTTTTCTAATGTAACGACGGCTGATTTTACAGCATTACAACAGGATTTGACCGCATTTTTCTTGTCAGCACTGCAGTTACGAAGTGATGCGGTTGGAAAAGAGATTGATGATGCCGTTATAAATCGCGCGGAAGATGAGGTGATAAATGCTTTAGTTCGATTGGTACTCAAGTTATCTGAAACAAGCTTCAGACCCTTCTATTTTAAGATTTATGACTGGGCTATAAGGTCTAATGTTGAAGGATATAAAGATCGTGTTATAACTTTTTATCGGTAAGTATTTAGACAATTATTATACATGTTCTTAAAACTTAAACACCATGTAGGATTTAAACATCATTACTAATATTATTAAGTATTTTAGCCCCAAAATTAATATAACAAATATATATAATATGACAATACAGGCTTAGTACTTCATGGGTGGTAAAGTATTAGTAGGTAGTAAAGTCAGTCATAGTCCACAGTTGGGAATAGATCCATATGTATTATATAAATTTTTAACATTGATATATGAACTACTTGAGTACCCACACAAATGACTTTGTACAAAGTGTATCTCTGATGAACAATAAAAATATATATAATAGTGCAAGTATAAGCTTGGCAGATTTTAAAAAAACTATTAACTTATTTAGTTGTTTCTCTTTGTAAGCACAATTGTTTCGGTAATACTTTTTTCTATTTTATTTGTAACTAGCTGATCCTGCAACCGTTGTTTTGTCATATAAATTAAAGTTGCTATTGAAAATTGGGGTTGATGGTATATGGTGAAGATTTAGGGTTATATGTATTTTTTAATTATAAAAAAATTATGTCTATAAAATAAAAAGAAAATTTAGGGGGGTCACTTAGGGTTACTTAGGTGTCACTTAGGGCTATTAAAATAGATAGTAGCTTTTCTCAGACCTACTGAATATGCAAATAAAATCTCATAAAAATTGGTCAAGCCGTTTCGAAGGAGTATGGTAACTAAAACAAGATAAAACATCAATGTCCTATATGTTTATGTCTATATAAGTAATAGTTGCCAATTACTAGTAATTGGGCCTTTGTCATTATTACATTGTTTTACCATTCATGTATTGAAAAACTTTCAGATTGAGTGCAGCCATCGCTAACCAACTGAAGGGTCTATTCGTACTATTCGCCGGCCACTTCATTAAAAATGCCGCCCAATTGCTCGATGCCTGCAACAATAGTAAAACAGAAGATTTGTACTTCGATTCTGAAGAGAAATGCGCTGTTCTCGTCACTTGTATAGTGAAGACTTTACAAATGGTCTTCTTGTACGACAGCCAGAACTTCCTCAACAAAGAAAGATTTGAGACCCTAATGCAACCAGTTGTGGATCAACTCGAGAATAATATTTGTGGTATTTCAAAACTTAAGCTGAGAGCGGGAGAGTGCTTAATCCCTTGTATAGCCCAGTTTGCTGTTGCGACAGCGGATGATTCCCTTTGGAAGCTATTGAATTATCAGGTTCTATTGAAAACGAGACACAACGATGCTGAGATAAGGTTAGTATACTTGGTTCTATATAAGGAACAAAAATTGGTTTACTATTTAATTGTTGTAGGAAAATGCTACTTATGAATATATTTGATTTCCGTAATTATTTATTCAAACGCTTTAAGGTCAAATATCATTATGTCTTTAATTGCTAATGTATTTATGCAATTTTTATTCTTGAAATATATACTAGCTTAGTTTGTATTCAAAATATACTGAGTGAAATGTTACGTCCATATGATAATATTGATAGTTTTTTTAATGGCTGATAATGATATGGCTTACCCGTCTACGGTAACTCTATACATTGGCAAGGAAGCAGTGGAAGATGACATGATAAACATGAGGACAGGTCATTTAGCCAATCGTGATATATTCACCAGAAACTTGTACGACCTCCACGCGGTTCCCCCTAGAAACCATCGTGATATATTCCCGGTGAATTTGTCACGTTGGGCTAACTGATCTGACTTCATGTTCATCCTATCATCCTTCACTGGCCAGAGTAAAAACGTTAGCGCAGGAGAGTGACCCATTCCATTATCATTTATTAAAATAAATCTATTCTATATTCAACAGATTAGTCGCTTTGGACTGTCTCGTCGCCATGGCAACGCAGTTGGGTAGCAGTTGGCTGCCACTCCTAGCCGAGAGCGTACCATTCCTGGCAGAACTTCTAGAAGATGGTGATTCGAGAATAGAATCCTCAACAAAGGACGCAATTCGCAAACTGGAACAAATACTCGGGGAGCCGCTGGAAAAATATTTTTAAAACGTTTCTATATTATTAACTTTTAACATTGTTTGTTAAAATATATTTTTTATATATACTCGATTATTATATTTTTATTTTTATTTATTTAATTATACCATGTCATGTCGACATCCACGCGGTCTTCTCTGGATACCACCGGTTCCTGGTGAATTCACTACGATGCCGATCGGCAGACTGACCTGATATCATTCACAAATCTTTTACTGGTGCATAGTTAGCACATACGTCAGGCGGAGCAAGGTTCCATGTTCATCCATAAAAACATATACAATGTACCTACATGATGTTTGTAAATAATAAGCTTTCTTATTTGTTAACAAACAGGGATTATGTAAGAGCGTGTATATCGCAGTTTAATGAGACATTAATATATCTTTTAATATAATCTTCAAAATTGTTTTTGAAACTCTAACTTTGAACTTTGATCTATTACAGAGTCTCTAAAGTAGTAAGTAGTTTCCGAGTTCCACGCATTTTCTGTATACAGAAACATATTTCATCAACTCCACAAAAATAAGAAGATTATAACTCACTATTGTTGTTGAATTGGTGAAAGCTTCAAAATACATACATCTATTGCATTTACATACATTTTTCTATGTTCTATATTTATGCGCTTCTATCTATAAGCTATAATTACAGGACAATACACACAGCGTCATCTAGACCCCAGTGAAGATAGCTAAAGCTTGTGTTATGGGTACTAGACGACTGACACAAAAACATAGATATATTTTTTTCGTAAATATATGCATATTATACATAAAAAACATACAATACCGATACAAACAATCATACTCATGAATATGTTTGTGCCGTGCGAGGAATCGTACCCGCGATCATCGGCAGTAAGGCGGTGTGCTTAACCACTAGACCACCGAGGCTGTTAAATATACACTGTTATATCTTAAAAATCATGAGAATATTCTTAAATATAACTAAAAAATTTTACCATAAACTGAGAACTGCTTAAAAAATAATTGAGGTATGAGGTATGGTTACGTGAATACCAATTCTAAGCTTATATATTCGCGTGTTGTTCATTCGTCTGTGAACGGAGTCCAATTTATGCACTCGCCTGATTACGTGTACTCGGCTGGATTGAATAAAGTTTGCTTAAACAATTCGTATGAGGGCAAATACAATTTACGACTTCCAACCCTTCTTACGAGATAAAGTTGCATCTACAGCTACGAAGACTTAGTTATAAGTTTATTGTTCCAACTAGTAGAGTTACACTAAAATAATACAAGAGAATCTCGTAAATAGTCTTTAATATGGAAGCCATTATAGTCAAAATAGTGAACGATTTTTTTAATATATTTTAATAGAAACTAATTTTAATATTGCAAGTTGCTAGAAAATTATTTAAATATAGCTTTATAAATAGATCAAAATATATTAATGCTGATTTACATGCGAAAATGTTTGTCTATCTGTTTGTTATCCTGATATTTTTTAGGTTATCTTCTATCTCAAAAAATAATTTGGAAGCGGTGTAATGGGGGATAAGAGATTTACAACACTTTTCTATATTAATAATATTACTTTTGTATATTGCCAACATAGCTGGATATCATTTGACGGTCTCGGTGGTCTAGCGGTTTAGCCACCGCTTTACATCCGATGGTCGCAGGTTCGATTCCTCCACTAATATTTGTATTCATGAGTACGATTGTTTATATCGGACTGGTTGTTTTCTATGTATATTATGTATGTATTTACAAAAAAGAAATATCTAAGCATTTATATCCGTTATCTAGTACCCATAACACAAGCTCTGCTCACCTTGGGACAATAGGACGTCGTGTAAATTGTCCAGGGGTATTATCATTATTTATTTTTTCATGTTTCTTTTCTTTTATCTGATTTAAAAAGAGTATTACCTCCTCGCCCACACGGGCCTTAGCCAAGTGTGGGAGAGATTGCGCTATGTGAAGATGTTAATATTAAAGAAGTCAGAAATTTTCTAGTAATGTAACAGGTATTGTTGTTTTTTGTAAGAGATATGTTTTATTAGGATGAATATTTAGTGTTTGCAAATCATTTTTAAGTGTTTTGGGTACAATACCCGTAGAAAGTACAATATATACAGTTTCGGCTCGCCATTGTGTTTTTACCTCTATTGCAAGATCCTGGTACATTATTATTGTTATTGTTATAGCAGTATATATAGGTACCTAGGTATAATTGTCTTTAATTTCTGAGAACGGAATCAGAATCTTGTCTCTTATTTAAGGTGGGTACATTAAAGATGAGTGGATAATGTCTTTTGCCTGAATATTTCAGCAAGCTTTTAGGTTTGCAACGTTCGGGCGAATGTTAATAACGGGTCGCTCCTTGTTTAAATACCAAGAAAGTACAGTCGGCTTGAATAATTTTAGGTGTTTTATTTTGGTGTGTAGGTATTTGTAGAACAAAACGTTTTTACCCTTGGTAAAACGATTATACTATACAAATTTTAGGTTTCCAAACGAAATTGTGTGTCGTCATGGATTATTAGAAATGGTGACCTCATGGTCAATTCCTGATGAATTTACCACGATAGGCTGACGGATCTGACTTCATCCGGATCATATCATCTTCCACTGGTGCCCCGCCTGCGTATTATAATATTAAAAATGTACCTACCTTTCTAAAATTAAGTACGTAGGCAATATATTTTTTATATATTGCATGTTATGACAAAAATATATATTTTTTAATTAGGTAAATGTATAAAGTAACGGAAACACTAAGTTTTATATATTTGTATAAATATATTTATAGTAGGTGTGTATGTGTCACAATTGCAAGCGTTTTATATATACAAATGGTTAAGACTGCATATTTTCAGATTTGCTTTTTGTCGAGAACGCCGTTTTTTTTTTCGTACTAATCTAAAGCTGTTGGCCGCAGCTGGCCTTTACAGCTTCGCCGGACGTTAGGGGGCGAGTGCAGATGGCACTCCAAACCCGCGGAAGGACTTATGGAGCAGCTGAAGGCCAGCTCCTGCCTGACGGATACGACTTTAGTGCACCACTAGGGGTTCGAACCTCGGCTCAGGCCGTCGTAATTTCCATCCCCGTTTGAATTGGATGGGGAATCGATTGGAAGGGAGAGAACGCCGTGCAACAAAAGAGTACTAGTAAATTATCTCTATATAATAATATAGTTGAGTTATACATTACGCTTTAAATGAGAGTTTAAAATTATGTAGTTGACTGTACTTACTGTAGCGAAAAGTCAACGTTGAGTTCGCGCCATACAAAAATGTAACTTTAGCTCGTTAAACATTACACGGAGCTACCTATCTACAACGTAATGTAAAGATGATGGCGTCGCGGCTGGCGGACGCTCCTTGTTCTTTGTAAGATTATCTAAATTGAACCTTAAAGACTAATGATTTCTTTGAAAAATATCAAGTTTTACAGTAATAGTCTTTAAAGTTCTACTTAGTTTGATTTCAACTGATACATCATTCATGGTCACAATCCAAGAACAATTGCACAAATATATATTTTTTAAATCAGTCCATTATCCCTTGGATTCGAAATTTAAAATTTATTTTGTAATTTCGTTGATATTACAGGCTTCAGCATAATGGTAATATTATCTAATCTCTGATAATAGTGATGTTCTTCATTTAAGTACCTATATATATATCGCTTACGAGTCTCACTTATTTCAGTCGTTAAGTGTGTTTCAGTTGATGGGTCGAGATAAAACAGTCAAATCAAAGGATAGGACATATGAGATCTTATTCCTCGGAAATGGCAACGCATGGGTAGTATGATGGGCATCACATGGGCGCCGTTAGCTTGCCATTCCAGTAACAAAGAAAAGGTTATTATTACTAACAAATATAATAAGAGTAAGGACGGATGTTTGTTACTCTACCACGCAAAAACTGCCTAACGGGTTTTAATGATACTTTGCAACAATATAGGTTATACATCAGAATAATACATAGGCTATAATTAAAATAAATTAAAACTACTTAAATTAAAAACAAAAATACTTAGATGTATATATAATATCAGTTATACATCACACACACGCGCACATACACACAACTATAAAAGTATAAACAAATTCATCAGATGTCATATATGATAGTAAAAGTCAAAGCTACGTAAAAATTGTGTAATTGAACCAACCATTGTGGAAGGAAATAACATCTGTAACACAGGGATTCCCTAGCACAGATGTTACGGCCTATAAATTAGTGACATTGTGTAAAAAAGAATAAATATATTATTATTATAAAAAAAATAATTAAAAAGATACTACGTAAATTAGGCTAAACACTTACTTAAAACATAATGATAAATGTTTGTTTTAAAAATGTGATGCAGGCGAAGTTGTGCGGGGCACCTAATACATATATATTTTAAGTAAAAGTGTCGAAAAGTGTATGTAGCTTTATGGCGAGTTAGTTGGCTCTACTATGCGGCACATAATGCCACCTCCATTTCTTTTATTTCTACCTGTATTTTCTGTACCTCATATATCTATGTGTTTGAAATTGCAGAATCAAGAATTTATCTATATCTATCTATGTCAATTAGGAAAGCACTTAAAAAAAAAATCAAAATATCTTTATTCATTTAGGTCTATTACAGGCTCTTATGATATGTCAAATTTACCGTCAGTACGGAATGATATTGAGATGAGAAGAACTGACAAAAAAACTCAGCTTGTATTTTTTTAAAATAAATGTTGTACTAATTAACAATAATACATTTAAACTCAAATTTGGGAGAATAGAGTGACCACCAGCATATGCTATTGCAAAAAACAAAAAATCTAATCTGTGTTCGCAACCTGAGGTCTCAAGGTACATATATCGTCCAGTCATCTTCACCAACTATTGTATAATTATACCACAGTTTCCTAACTATAGTAGATAATGTGCTTTAGCAACTTCTCTTTATATTATTCTGCTTTTAATATATTGATATCTATCTCAACTGGGATATCAGTCCTCAAGGTACAAATTCAGTAACCACAGGTGAACTTAACAAAACAATTACGAGGCGTAGTCATTAATTATACCAAAAGCACGATACTA